CAAAGCTTCTCACTGATTGACCTATAGCAGTTTTCCCAAAGGTTCCCAGACATCAACGAAGATTTGACCAACCTTGGCAATGTTCTAAGTCATTAACCCATGCTCTGGGTCATGCTCTGCCGGCTGAGTTCCTGAGGGTTCATCACTCGGCAATTGACGGACTTGAGGCAGAACGGAAATCGCGGACAGCGAGTACGGAAAAGAAGCCACCAAAAGGACAAGCTGAACAGCCTTCTAGCCCATTCCATATGTACCAGGGACCGTCTTATAAGCTAGTCTCTCAATCTCTCTCCAAACAACAAGGACATGGCCGGATTGTCTCGGTTCGGTTCGGATCGAGGGAAGATGACCACGTCACCCACGCCACGTGGCCAGGGAAGCAACGACGTGGTCTCCGTCTCCCCGGTCCGAAGAGAGTCGCCGGGCGGTCCAAGCACGTGTGATGGGGACAGAGACAGGGAGACAGCGTGGTCCAGGTGTGGTTGGAAGATAGAATGTGAAAGGGTGATGTACCGGTACGTACCGATTTGTAGACCAAAGCTGATTAAGATGAGGAAAGTAAGCCTTCCAGGCCCTTGAGACCATTCCATACTTTTTTGAAGCATGGGTGTCCTTTTCGACACTGAAGTTCACTTCGTGAACAGTCGGTGGGCAGAAACCAACATCAGCTAGCCGCATTGGCGTTAGTTCGCTTTTCTCCATCCCTAGGGGTCCACATACCCTCTGAGAGACACTGTTATGTAGGTTTGGAGGGTCCAGTCGTACCTTCTGAGGTTCGATACGGCATGGTCGACCTCTCAGTCCCGGTGTGGCGTTTCTGGGGCGGAAGAGCCGAACCAATCAAGTTAAGGACATGTGACATCGAACCAATCCAAGAGAGGTTTTATAGTTTGTGACCTGAAAAAGGACCCGGAAAACCATGGGATAGGCTATCGGGTTCTGAAAACACCTTTGGATTGTCCAGCGGCTTGCGGTGTTTTGGGCCACGGATTCCGGCTGCCACGGCGCCCTGATGGACGAGGCTGGGATGGACGAGGCAGCTGTGGACCTCCTGGGGCTTCTTTCGCACGGTGAAGAGGTCCTTCCGAATTGTGTCTCTATCAAGAGAATCATGCAGAAAAAAGGGTGCTGTATGACTGAGAGATTCTGTCACTGCCCAAATGTTGTGTTTAGACATATTAGATTATACCGTACCGTACTATACAACATATAGAAACCTTTCTGGCTGGACATGGCGCATGGCGGCGCTTCAGAGATCAGCACCGAACTCGTCAGGACGGCAGCCTGACAGTTTGGTCTGCCACGCATCGCGCCGAAGGAACGGACCCATGACCGTGTGCGTTCTTGGGGCCATGACCACGAAAACACTCGAAGCAAAGAGACAAAAAGAAGCTGCCCCTGGCATTGGAGACTGGCAAACATGTTGGGGATCGTTTGTTCTTTGTTGAGCCAAGATTGTGTGGTGAAACACATTGATTGGTCGCCCACAAATATGTTTTGTGGGAGAAAAAGCCAAGATGTGCAGTGTTGCTCGGTTGCTCGCTTCCTAGTCACCCAGCCAAGGAGAACAGGGGGGTTAACATGAGAAGAACGGAACACGGAACACTGTCGCTTTGGAACCCCGGAACCCCCCGAGATGAATGTTTGGAACTTTAAATGGACATGGACATCACAACCCTTTTGTTTGGACCGCTTCAAACGGGAGCCCAGTTATGACCTGCAAGCAAGTCTTCATCTTGCCAACGTATGCAGGGTGGAGTCCATGGATGGATATAGATGGCCTTTTACTGCTGGTTGGTTGATTAATAGCCCCCAAGTGAACAACCAGTAGGTATATGTTATTAACATGTATTAAATCGACCCCTCTATCATTTCCAAGTACGGACATCATTGGTGGAGTCTAATGTTCTCAACTTGAAGTCCGTTGCAAACCCCGGTGCATCGAGTAGCCATGCCAATGTGCTTTGACCGACCTGTCCACGTCGATCCGCCCGCGCGGAGAAGGCTTGCGCGGTTCAGCATGCTGTAGCTGTCAGCTTGAAACAGGGGTGACAGCCTTGCATGGGTGGGTGGTTTTTGTGCCGACCAAAGCTGATGTCATACTCCCCGAAAAGATGGAACATGGCAAGTGAGAAGGGTCAACCCTTCGGTTTTCCTGTGATCTCGATGACGCTTTTGAGTTTCCATGCCGGCCACTGGGGTGGTCATGCACATGTGGTTTCATTAAACTAAGAGGGACACGTGTATGCAAGGATATGCAAGGATATCAGACAACCTCCAAATCCTTGTGAAAAGACTCATTCCATTGCAGGATTTTGCTTGAGACGCTTTTGGACAAACTTAAATATGAATAGGTTGAATAGGATTGAATAGGTACATATGCCAATCCTCGCATCAAAATCCTTGAACACCGACGCCTGCTTCTTCGCCCGCCGTGTTCAAGTCTGTAGCACAGATGCTGCGGACAGGGAGGGGAGCAGTGACCGGACCGACGTTGCGACGGAAGACCCAACAGAAGACCCCCCAAACCGAGGGACGACGCAGATCCATAAAGAGCATCCTACATGAGCTTCCCTCAAGCGCGATAGCTCCGGTTGCGAACGATTCAGCACAGAAGCCGCCTTCTGCGTCGAACGATTCACCGAAGCGGTCTGGAAGCGGTGAACGGTCTGGAAGCGGTTGTGTTCGGTGAACTCGAGCGCGCAGCAGTCACCATGCGATCGATCGTATGATCCTTTTGACCCATCTTCCAGCAAAAGCCACCCGTCAACCCATCGTCATGCACAGGTCACTCCCCCAACATCCGAACATCGCCATCTGGACCTGTCTCAGAAGGATGCTCCCCCAAACAAGTCCGACGACGTCAACCCCACGCCCCCCCGTGCTTCGCACCGCCACACCGGCCCCGGATCCGTCCGTCGAGACCTCGCGGCGGTGGCTCGGGGGCTGTCCACGCGTCGGATGGCCAGGAGGCGAGTCGGGCGAGTCGGGGCAAAAGCTAAGACCATTCCAATCACTTCCTGGACTCCCAGACCTCGGGGTGGACGACACCGCGAAGGAGCTCTTTTTCAAAAGTGACACCCGGAATCCGTGGGGCTGGTTGGGTCTAGATGATGTACCTTCGTTTTTGTTGTCCAGAAAGGCCGATAACAATCATCCATTGGGCTGGATATACCCAACCAATCACTGAGTCGTCGTATCCAGCTGGATTGAAATCCAGCCCCAAGTTTTGGCTCCACGAACGGTCCAACCCCTATCATTCCATTCGCCGAACGCGTGGAGCAAAAGGGCGAACCAAAGGAGCATAGCCTAGCGAACGACCTGTCTATCTATCCATCAAGCGGAGGGGGTCCATGCGTGATGTCAATCAATGGAGCATGAATTTACCATATTTATGATATCACATTGTGTTGTTGCTGAACTCAACAGGCGCCGTGCTTTTGGGACGTTTCTCAGTGTCTCAGAGACATCTTCGCTTCTTATGATTGCATTGCATTGATTGCCGGGCGGGGCAGGTGTCCACAAGTGATTCGGTTGGTCGGGGCTTGGCCCCCCATCGCTTCCTCTACAAACCATTTTAGAGTCCATGTGGTCCCATGTGGTCCTCTTCAGCGGGGGGTAAATTCAAAAAACATACTCCCTGCAACTGTACATGGAAGTGGACGTCCACTTCCATGATTGTTGGAGAGAGGGTAATCATCATTCAATTCCAAACATTATGACAACATGCTTGACTACAAACAGCCGATCGACTATAGATGTCATACTAGATGTCATATAATTGACGGAACTAAAGACGCCACATAGTCTCGTCCATTTGTAACTAGCACCTTTCCAAAAGGGAACTGGGTCTTTGGGTGTGTCTTTGAATCAGCTCGATCGTTTGCCGCCTTTGCCGCCTTTTCCTTTTCCCCGAGTTGAATGCAAGCGTATTGCAGGCACAATTTCATGTGCACACTGCTCAACTGCCACAGCTGATCAACACTTGAGACATGTCAAGACTAGACCTATAGTTAGACCTATCTATGAGGCTTTAAGTTATCAGAGTGGCCACTGAGCTAACCCTAAAGAGTGACCAGGATCTATCAGGCATCCATCGCAACATCCACATCCCCCGCATTCGCGACAGCGAGGTATCGCTTCACTGCAGGGTGATCTTTGGGACCCTCAGCCATAATCCACCTTGATCCAGTCACACAAGGCATCAAAGTGACACAAGGCACAAGTTTTCCCTACTTTGTGTGTCATGCGACGCTTGGTGTCCAACATACTTGTAAGCTAAGGCATGGACACACTGAGGGTATCATGTTGACTAAAGTTCCCTACCTACCCTTCAAACACATCCTTGCGTTGGCCACATGGTTGAGCCTGGGCACTCCAGCCGAGCCTTTGCAGCAGCTCGCATGCACTTTCCGGGGGACAGCTGGGCACTTTTGGCGGCTTTATGGGCAGTGGAGTACACCTAGGACCACACGTTGTTACAACTGAAAGTTTTTACAAACAACATACTATCCTCTTGACACTCACAGCACCCAATTGGATGATACAAATGCACATGTTCAATAATTAAGCTTAAGCACGCTATGCATTTTCTTTTGCACCGTGTCTTTCACTCTCACACACTGGCTGCCATTGTTTGCGGGCCGTGCTTGCGCTTTGGCTTTGGGGGATTGCTTGCGTGCCAACCTGCCTCCTTGTGTGTTGGCTTTGGCTGCTTTGCGTTTGGCTGCTTTGCATTTGGCTGCTTTGCATTTGGCTGCTTTGCCTTTGGCTGCTTTAGATGTGGGCGATGATTTTGCTTTTGCTTTTGCTCTTGAGCTGGCCCTCTGAGTATCCTTGGAGTTTCCCTTTAGTGTCTTTGCCTCATCCATGAGATGCTTGGGGAGTTCCTTTGGAGTGTCACGCATAATGACCTCCCCTGGTGTCCGCGGTTCTGATGCAGGGGCTCCTTCCTCAATCTCCACCAGGGCCGTTGACAGGTCGGTCTTCTGTGGTGATCCCAAGTGTGTTGCATCTTCCAGGGCTAGTGTAGGAGGTTCGGTGTCTTCCAGGGCTGGTGAGGAAGTCACACCAACCACAGTGGTGGAGGCAGACCCAGTGACACCAAAGTCCTCCGGAGTGGGGGAGGGAGGTTTAGTGACACCAGTGTCATCCCCTGTGGGTGGGGGAGGTCCAGTGACACCAATGCCCTGCACTTCCCCAGCTGCATCCTGAATGCACAAAAACAGGTTACCATTTTATCGCTCTTTGCAAAGCCTCAACAAACTCACCACAGCCAAGGTGGGATACATTGCTGTCCTCATGGCCGTGGACCACCTCCAGGATACCAAAGTCCTCATGAGCATTGCTCCGGTGAAGCTTGGGGTGGGAGTCCTGGAGGAGGGTCAATTATCCACAGATTATTCCATTGATAGTTTAAACAATAAAATACTTGATACGAGCCCCCCCAGTCCTCACGATAGGGCGACTCTGCAAACTCTGGAGAAGCCAACAATGTGTCAGGCAAATCGTAAAGGTCACACTCTTCCGTCAACGCCTTCAAGGAAACTAGACCCAGTTATCAGCCCCGCAAACAAGATTGCTCAACAAAACGCATTTGCCTTGTTTTCAATCCCACCATGATGCTTACAACAACCCCAAACAGTCAAATGTGGTTCATCCATATCCAGGATCAACAGGCTTATAATGGTTTGTTTTCCTGTTGGTTCCCGCCACAAAAAAAGCACGATGCAGCATTGTACCTAAATGTTTCTTCATTCATAACACACATGGAGTATGCGAAGAGAATTTAATGTAGCTGGTTTGTGGCCAAGCTGGTTTGTGGCCTCACCATCATCATAGTAGCCAGGAAGGCCAAGCTGGTTGTCAGGCAACTCTGACCTAAGCCAAAACAAGTATGTAAGCCTTCACCATAATTCTGACCGTAGACAAGTTGCAGAGGTGGGTCCTGCATGATCTCGAATGTTTGCGACCTGACCATATGAACACGACAAGTATGTTTTTACAAGGCAAGTAAAGATCAAGGTTGCCAATGTGTCCATGGCCTGTAGTTGACGTAGTCATCAACACCTTCA